TTGTCCTCTGAAAGTTCACTTAAAATTTTGTTTAGCGTTGGTATTTCTTTTTTAAAATAAAATGAGTGTACTTTAGTCACTAAACACAAGTCGAATTTTACTCTACTGCACTAGCACGTCTTTGTATATTCAGCTCTAAAACTGGATTGATCTGTCACAATACACTGGCTCCTGCCCTATGTTGTATCCAGTAAAATATACTAATGTACACCCATTACCTGTTAGCATTAGTGTTACCCGATAATTACCTGAAATGAAATATTAGCACGCCCATGGCCGGTTCTTATCTCGGGGTTTTATTACTCTCTTTCATTTCCATACAGACTATAGGAATGGCAGGGTACTATTTTCTTCCATCTCCATAGTGAAGCTAATGCCCTGATGTATTCCATCGATGCGTTTCAGAAATCTTTCAATGTTATATGTATATGGGTCAACCTATAGCTGCTCCTTCAGTTTGTTCATAAAACTAGTGCCTAAAGGAGAAGGTTGAACTAGTGCATATTTCTGATAAGTCCACTAAATACTCATTCTTGTCTTCTTCAATGAGCCTTCGATGAAATTTTCCGAAGCTTCTTTTATCGCCACTTGTGAACAACAACGTCACGTCAAATCTCACTAGGAGATCATCTGAATCTAGTAGGACTTCCTTGGTCTTATCGATAAAATCTTCAGCTTTTTTGATGGCATTTCGTTTTTTCCAGTAGAGCTTTAATTTGATTGACACGTGACACGTATCCTGCAAGTGACCGAGTGACGATCTCATTGTACTCACTATTGATGCGTCGACCGGAAGTATGGTAATTTCTTCATTTTCCTTCAAATTTTTGACGGCTTAGTTTCTTTTCTCGGCAGATTTGGTTTCGGTGGTTTGGCAATTCATAATACTTGTACGAATGCAGCTGCTCTATTCCTTTTAGGCGAGTGTTTTTTCAATTTTGGAATAATGAATAGATCTTTGTAGGATCACAAATATTTTGAAAAATGTTGGTTTCATTTTATTGTTGTTTCAGTTTATAATTTTGCAATAATTATTACAAAGAGAAGTAGTTAACTTAAAGAGATAGTTAATTTCTCAGATTCACACAGTAAATTAAAAGAAGTGTCGCCGGATATAAGATGAAAGTAATCAAACTTAATTGAAGACTGCGGGATTGTTATAAATAATCAATCCATAATTGAACTGAAAGAACATCAAGAACGGCGCATAGGAATGTTACGTTTCAATTGTGGTTTTATTATATAGTTTCCAACCTCGATAAAAATCCAGAAATCACTAATAATAGACTTTCTATATGATTAGGGTCAATGTTATTAATTGACACTTGTAATTGCTTGCTTATTATTTATATAAACTCATTGTGGGAGGTATGGCCATATTTTCAGTATGCATTAAATGTCTGTAGTATTTAATATTATTATTAATTTTCGTCATTAATGTTAGAATTCAGCCTATACAACTTGTAGAAATAAATAGAAATAAATAAATAAGTAGAAAATTAATTTTTAAACTTTTTACACTGACATTTTACAGACATCATTTTTTCTTTCACATTACTTTTTGTATAAAAATTGATTTCTAAATTATTACCATATACAGAAACAAAAAAGATTTTCTTTATTGGAAAAATTACATCTTCCTTAAACAATTTATGTCCCCGATTTAATTTTAACCGCTTTATTGTAAATACCTATCATTCTCATCTAACATAGTAAAAGGATTTTAAAATAGCTATTCTACTCATATCAACTAACCGTGAAATAATATTAGATGAAGTAGATCTACTACAACTTTTTTGTAAAATAGTTATAGTATCTAACAAGATGTGCATGCTTGGATGTTTTTGCTAGAAATAATTTTAAATGAGTCATTTTAATTTATATTGACTAACTAACCGTAGAAAGCAATAATGCTTTCAGGCTGGCCTGGAAATATTTATAGTATGTGAATTAAGATGTAAACATTTAAGTATACATGTACTTGATAGTTGACAGTCTCAATTATTTAAACTTTAACAAAGATATTGAACAAAATTTGTTAACTAAACTAAAAATACCCAACATCTACCGTAGATCAGCTATATTCGTAGAGGGGTATTAGGCAGCCTCTCTGCGGGTTTGGTGGAGTGGAAGTACCTTGGTTTGGGTCAGTGTGAGAGGTTGATACAGGTCGGCGTTTGACCATTCGCTTATAATGAGGTTTTCCAGGTTTTCTCATTTCTGCACTGAATGGTTAGAGCTTATCAACGTTAGTCGTTCCTGGGCGCTCATGCGGCCTAAATAATAATAATAATAATATGCCGCCCCTCCCCCGCACAAGTCTCCGCGCGATTATATTATCTAGGAAATCCTATGATGCTTTTTAAAATTAGGTTGTGAATTTGCTTTATTTTATTTCAAAATAGAAAATAAGTAATTTATAAATTTCGAAAATTTTGAATTAAATATCAGGTTGATAACAGGTAAAGTAATTAGACATTGTACAAGTGTAACAAAATAGATACAGAAACTTTGTAATATATTTTGGATTAGAACTGTAAATATAATCGTAAAAATCAACCAAAGAGACACGAATGAATCGGTCGCATTTGAATTGAAAATAGTAATAAATTTGTTATAACATCAAACCGAATAAATACTTACAATTAATTGTAGAAAACGCAATGGATTTCAACAGGTGGTTCTGTGTGTGAAGATTTATTTCCTTGTCTTTTAAATACCTCTATAGTATTGAATATACTCTTTCATATATGAAGACTTATTAAAAGTAATAATTCATGTTTTTATGTTGCGATTTGCAATTATTTCCGGATATGATAAACGTTAGTAGCAAATAAATCATTGTCGTAGCAAGATCGCCAATCTGAATAATAATAATGAATTGTTTATCATCGATTGCAAATAGATACATACTTAATTCTTAGTTGTGTATGCGTATGTGATGCGAAATTATTAAACTAAAATAGCACAAAATATCTTATTTTTTCATAAGAAATATTTTTATGTACATCTAGTTTTCATTTAGAATCTCCCTGTATAAGACACTGAATTGAGTGATTTAAATTCATACATTTATTTTTCTGAAATAATATAAGAACAAAAATTATATTTTTATATTAAAAACACTGAAATTTATTGATACATATTGTATATTGTATAAAATATTGTGTCGAAAATAGTGTACAAATTAGATCATCTAACAATTTTGTAGATACTGCTCTTAATTTAATTAAAACAAGCCATCTTTTTTTGATATTTATTTTGTCAATGTGTCTACGGAACAAAATTTCAACAGTAGGTGAGTGTTGAACAAAAACAATTAAAATGCCCATGATCCATCAATCATTCTTAGATGTTTCAATATTTGACACCCACTTAGCAAGATTTGCTTCTATAAATGACATTATTAATACAGCTTCAATAAAAGCTAATTTGGATGTAAGGTACACGACGAAAACTATTAGAAATAGATACTATGTAGGTGCCAAGTGTCAGTGAGATTTAATTAATCAGTCATTAATTTTGCGAACCATTTGAGGTATACATTTTTCAAACCCAGTAAACCAATTCATAGCATTTAGGAATATCTGAAAACCTATAAATTGTGTTATATTTAATAAAATATCATACAGATTTTTAGAGTTGTTATGCCGTGGTCTGTGTACCTAATCGTTGCCAGTTACAGAATTAGCCTCAGCTGGGATCTTTGACCTGCCCTTGTTGTTTTCGGGCTAGGCTCCGTGGGGGCGGACAAGCTATTAGAATTTATGTCCGGCCTGATGTTCATTTCAGTTCTTATTCTTAAAAATTCTAATTTAATTTACTTGCAACATGACACGTTTCAATTAGGTATTAGATATAATTGTTTTAGGAAAAAAATATTTATTTTTTTAAGTTACTATATATTTGCTTTTTTATTTCTGTTATTAAAGGTTGGTTATTGTTGTTGTTCTAGGACAGAGATGAGCAGAGGCGATTAGAAATGATACATCGGAAAGAAGAGGACGACTTGTACAGAAAATTCCAAAGGCAAAGAGAAGAAGAAGAGAAACGAATTAGAGACGAAATTAGGGTAAGTTATACTATTCACTTTAATAGCGCCTTAACATTTGTATTCCAGAATTTATTTGAATTTACATAAAATTTTAGTCTAAACACAATAGTACAACGTAAATATAGATATTGTTAAAAGCAATTATAAATTTTTGGATACAATATATAATATACATACAGTGTGTTTGTAAATAAATTCAAAATTAAAATTTAAACACTCTGTATCTCGGAAACGACACATATTTCGACCTACGTTTATATGAACTTTTTTTCACAAAATAACTTTGGCAACCACCCCCTAAAATATTTCGCACTTATTTACAGACACCCTGTATACTGTTTTTTAGGGTATAATAACTTTCTCGTAAATATTAAACATAAAAAATATGTATTTGTATTGGTGTTATATCACTCATTCTTATACAGACTGTTACAAATTCGCTTCTCACTACAGGGATCTCGAAAACGGTAAGAGATACAAACTAGCTTAAATGGGGTCAAAATTGCGTAATCAGGGGACCAACATTATGCCTCTAAAAAATCAAGGCTAACATGATTAGTTTTCGAAATATTTGAAAAAAACCTGAAATTTTGGAAATCCATGTTTGTTTCATTTCAGCCTTGTTTGAGGTGATATTGAAAAAAGAAGAACACTTTCTCATGGTCACTTTTTGCTCTCTATCGAATGACATAATCAATTTTTATATGTAACGTTTCGTCTCTCCAGGACCATCATCATTATTTTTTAGAGGCATAATGTTGGTCCGCTGATTACGCAACTTTGCCCCCATTTAAGCTACTTCGTACCTCTTACCGTTTCTGAGATCCCTGTAGTGAGAAGCGAATTTGTAACAGCCTGTGTAAAAAATAATTTGTATATAAAAATAAAAGTTGCACTTTTTTACTACCTACCCTTTACACATAAGTTTGAACAAAACAGTACTATTTAAGTGATATATCAATTTTTATCTTTGTTTGTTATGGGTCACAGAATTCAATTACGAATGACCATATGTTGCAAATTACTCAGCTGTTTTATATGCATCATTTTCAACGATCGAGAAAGTCTGTGGGGTTGCATATCTAACCTTTATTCGAAACGGTTATTTTTTAAATAGTTGTGTTGTTGATTTGGGAATAGTGAAAGGTTCTTAGCTGTAACACTTTTGTGTTAAATCGTTCTATTTAAATATTTTCAATAACAAAAGTGAAGATATATTGAATCAAATTAATTAAGTAAATTTAATCCTTCCTTTTTTATCACCAATTTTCTTCATTATTATACAAAGTGTCCTTAAACTTATTGGCACAATTTTAGAAGGATGCTAAGCTAGTCAAAATAAAATGAAAACCTAAATACATTTTTTTCCTAATTGCTTCTGTTTTCGAGATACATGATGTGAAACAACTTCCACCAATGTAGACCTGGGAAACTTATATTTTGCAAAAACAATCTACCGCCAATACCATTAAAACAGTGTCGTGCAAACGGGGTTTCTCTAAAGGTTACTGTCACGTAATATATTTGAGATATTAAATTTGTACAAAATTTTATACCATTTTTCGATAACCCCTATCGAAAAAGTATTCTACTGGAATGCCAATAAAATTAACTATTTCCGAGATAATTGGGGTTAAACTAGATACACCACATTAAATGAATAAATATGGAAAACATATGCTACTAATTTTCTAGCTGAAAAAAAAACTTGAACTAACATTCATCTAAAATAAAAAACTTTTAGGAAGACAATTGTTCAAAGTGACCCATACCAGTATGCACGTAAGCACAAAGTCTAGTATTTTTAGGAAAAAAGTAGTTCTACTCAATCAATTAGTCGATTTGGATAGACATTCTCTAGCCTTTCTCCCAACTCATCAACGGTTTCTACCGGGATAGAATAAACCTTTTCTTTGATTTGTTCCCAGAACGTTAAATCCAAAGGATTCAAATCTGGGGATCATGTTGGCAAATATATTATCGAGTCCTCCCCGCATTTAATCCAGCCATTTGGAAAGTGGTTGGATAAGCATCGCCTTGTTAATCTACCCTGCTGTGCACATATCAAAAGCTTCAACTTTGTAGGTAGCGTATTCTGACGAAACACGTATTACTGTTTGGTGCGCATTTTGGGCTGGATGCATTTTCTTCGAAAATGTGGCTGATCAGGCAATAATAGTTAATTGTGCTCGCTATCGCGACATGATAATCCAGTCTTTTGTGCCTAAATTGCAAGATATTGATGTAGGCATGTGGTTTCAACAAGACGGTGCCACATGCAATACAGCCCGAGAAATAATTACTGCATGAGTCATTTCTTGGTCGTGTAATTTCCCGTTTTGGTGATCAGAATAACCGCCCAGATTATACGATTTAACGCCATTGAATTTTTTCTTTGGGTTTTTTTTATGTCTAAGGTTTAAGCCAATAATTCCACGACCACCCACGCATTAAAGGATAAAATGGAGCGCTGTATCAACGAAATTCAGCCGCATTTATGAAAATTTCGACGAAAGAGTGCGTATGTGCCAGAATAGCTGTGAAGGTCATTTACCCTGTATGGTATTATTGCTTTTCCATACATACATAACCCTATACTGTATAGTTTATGAATCGATAAACAAATTACAATTTTTAATTAAAAACCTGTTTTTTTATTAAAATTACTTTTTGCGTGAATTTTGGGGCACCATTTAATAATGCCTTATCATTTATTCCCAATCTTTTATCTGTTTTTCATTTGTCTCTCATTATTCTCTCCGCATGTATGTATGATAAATATTTCTCATCCAAATTGTATAATAGGTATAAATTTCCCAGAAAAAATGCAAGTACTAAAATGTTAATCATTGTACTATGAAATTATCATTATACCTTTTTCATTTTTTTTTGTCATTTTGTTCTTATACTAAACTTTATCTCTTTTATCATAACTGTGACACAATGACGTAAAGACTGTTTTGTCAGATTCAGGGATATAGTTACCGGTTGCATACTTCCGAAGGTCATCCATTAAAATGATATCAAAGTCTACGGAGTGCAGTACAGTTTCTTACTAATTATATGAAATTACGTACTATAATTAAAAATCTACTTATTCGAGTCCTTGGCCTTGATAATTAACGACGTTTTATAGACCATATCAACGATTTGCTTCAGAAAACAGTCGGAAACACCATTAGAATAACAATGGTGTGTCTTAAGATTAGAAAGTTATCCTGGAAGAATGAAACGTTTTATTCACTCGCCCAGTACTTGTATCGCACAATTACTATTTTGCACGCAATAGGGCCCAGAGTGACATTCAATTTTACGCCTCTTCAAAACCTTTAGATGTCGTGCTGCTTTTGAAGGCAATGTCTACTCTCGAGGAAATCAGAGAAGGCCTGGCCTGTTTCTTCTTTCCGTTTTCGTATTTCTTATTCAAATCGTTAAGGATTCGATTTCGAACAATTGTTGTATGTGGAAACGAGTAGAGATAGAATGTACACAAAAAAGTGGCCTATTCTCCGGATGAAACGCATGTCACCCTATTTATTTGGATACCCACATCTGAATCGCGAGAAATGTTCTATTCTATATTCTATTCTCCAGGTTTTTTTTATTAACAAAAACCTAATTAGAGCCAAAGGTCTATATTTTTGGGGTTTATTGTATTGCATATTTTGGTTATTTAAAGACTTAGCCAACCCTTGCATTCCTTTATTTTCGAATGAATACCAGAAAATAACCTCTAGAACTTAAAAATCAATTAAATTCTATATTCGGCGGATTCACGTCTCAAACTCGAACTATGGACTTGAGACCGAAGGACTGTGGGATTTACGCAGCTCATACAACAGATTAGTGATACCATATTATTATTTTAATTAACAATGAACCGAAATTTCCAAACCACGGATACTGTACCCAGTACGAACCACTCAACCAATAACTGTAACCCACAGTTATTGGTGGGTGCCAGAAACCAGATAATCCCTAAATATTCAAAACCTGACACGACTTAACATTCAGCGGGTTTCTTTGTGAATACGGTCTTGCAAAAAAGTCTACCACAATCATGGCATAGCTGAAATATCCGAAGTCACTTACGAATGAGTTGAGAAAATCGACTTGGTTATAATACTACAATCTAAAGGTTGCAGTAATCAATACAGTGGTTTAGTTATCCTTTTCCAGTAGTTACTGTTGTATATTAAAAAGATACTTAGGACGGAAGAAAAGAACTGAAAAAATCTATCTTTCGAAGATACAAGACAGTGGTACAAAACGGAAACGGTAGTAATTGCAGAAGCAACTTCCTTCAAAGGTTTCAAGTATTTAAATAAACTTTTTTCTGATGTTCACTTAAGACTGAACGATCGCAACGCTTGACTGAGTTTCTGAATACCCAAAACACAATGATCACCACAAATACGATGCGTAAACTCATTTCCAAAATAGAATTTATGTTTCCTGGATTAAAACCGACTATATATTCTAAAATACAATTGAGGTTTCTGAAATATTTTTAATATATATGTTATATACGAAAATTATCTAAGAATATTAAATATCAAGCAATATGACACCACAGATAACAACTTCCTCGAAACAAAGCAATCTCATGTAAAGCGCAAGCACAGCAGCAGATTCTAAGAATGCTTGTACTTGCGTTAGCATAAGAAAACCTATAAATATAACTAAAAAACTTAGTCAGTTCAGTTCACAGTAAAATCCAGTCGTTTTAAGTCTTTAACGCTGTAACTCATAATCTATTGTTAAACACTGAAAGTTGTAATCATAATTTAAGTGAAAAATAAAATTTTTTAAAAAGTAAAAAGTGATCTGAGTGATCTAAAATATATATATATTTTTTCTTTAAATATTTAATTCGAAATTGAAATTGAGCTTTCTGAAATAAATTATCGAAGATTGAGCAGTTTTAGAGATTTGACTTATTTTGCATTAAAATGAGAATCCACCACTGTTAAGGAAATCGAAAATATAAATAGTGCTTAACTTACATGATTTAATTATTATTATTACAAAATTAATTCATTTTATAAGGAAATTAAAACGATAAATAATCTTTCTAACTTTTTGGTTGAATATAATTCCTGAGTTGGTTGTCATGTCGTCGGCTTAAACTTCCTGAATATTAGAGACATACACCGTCTTCTCTTCAGAAGAAACTTCCGAGTTTCTTTTGACGAAGAGAGACGTACGTATTTATGTCTCTCAAAACATCAATATAGGTATTTAAACAGCAATCAGCCTGAAAATTATTCAAACATTGACAATTACCATGGAAGCCAATAAATCAAGTTTCTGGTTTTGGGTGAAATTGAAACTTTTAATAATAAATTTGTGAATTTCTCTATTACATCTTAAATTAAATCATTCTATGTTCTATAGGTACAAATGCTTAACTTTTTTTTCAAAATACAATAAATGAGTAGATATTGTCATTATTAAAAAATATACTAAAAAGTGTTTGTTTTTTAGGATGAATGGGAAAAGGAATTGGAAAGGTTGACAAATAGATTTGAAAGAGAGATGCAGATGAAAAGGAAAAGAGACGATCAAAATATTTTAACTTTAAGACATCAACAAGAAAGGGAAGACTTGGAGAAAAACATGACTTTAAGAAGGGATAAAAAGAAAGAATCGCTTACACGAAAAATGCTGGAGCATGAAAGGTGAGAAGTGTATACTTATACGATATAATATATAAGAAAATTTTGACCAATGATGTCAGGAAAAATTTAGCCCTTTCCATTGTTTCGCTTATAGGTGAGAGATGTGAAAAAATGCAAATATCTATACCTAAATACCGTATGAAAATTTTTCCAATTTTTTACTATCTGTTACTAAAACAAATGATCATGTCATTGTGATATACAAATAATTGGAATATTTGAATGGAACATTTCTTAGTAGCGATTTAACCGATTACGTCTCTAAGAATAAAGAGAATAAAGAGAGTTTAGCTAAAATAATATGTCATGAGCTTAATGTGTAAAAATTCATCATATTCTATATGACTGTAACCGTAATCCTCTACAGGAAAACCTCTATACAAATTTGTAGAAATATGCAGAGTATTACATTTATAGAAATTTAGGTATGTATATCTCTATCTCTGTCTCAATATCAACGTTGTAAGTAATATAATTTTTTTAAATGTTACTACAATTTTTACTGCACTTTTTTCTGTCTTGGAATTTAAAAGAACTAATTAGAGATGGTGAATTTCCTGCTACCACTCTGTATGTATATATGTCAGAAAGTAAACAAAAATATCTATAAAAATATATATAATTTGTTGGTGTAAAATATTTTTGTGTACCTATATGATTAAAATACAATTTACTCTAAAGGTACATATTTCAGAGTTGAGCATTATAATTATTTACAGAAAAATTAAGGCAGTTGTGCACTAAAGTATAAAAATTACTAGAACAATGTTTTGGTGGTACTGTTAGTATTGTTGAAGTTTTTTATTATTTTTTTTTACTTACAGAATAAAAGCAAATCATGCTGAAATCATCTTAACCCACCTGCTATTGTAGTTATGGTAACACAATTGATTAAACAATGAATTTTAAAAGTCATTATGCGTGTAAGCATTAAAAGAAACAATTATATATTTGTTGTCACTCCTTAAAGTTAAAAGCGAAATGAATTATTCTTAAATTTTTATTTGCGGTAATCTCAGAACCTACTTCAGTAATAAATCATCATTCGTTTCTAAATTAATTAGTAAATAAAATATATTTTCATTTTTTTTTTAAGAATTACACTTTTGCACACTTATTTTGATCTGCAATTAATATTTTTCCATTAAAAATAACTTATATACATACATTGTTACACACACAGGGAGATACACAAGTTTATTTTTTTTTAGTTTAGTCTTTATTAGTTTTTTAAAATACGTTTTTTACAGGGCAGCAACAGCTGCTTTAGTTGAAAAACAGAGTCATGAAATGTTGGAGTTAATTAATGAAAAAAGAAGTGAGTACATGCAAGCAGAGTCACTCTATTTGGACCACAACGATGGATACGTTGAGGAATTGCAACCGTATCCCAGTCATGCACCTGCACCAGCACCTCCTGCACTAAGCAAATTTCAGGTAGATATGCAGGATGTCAGGAATTGAATAGATCATACTTCCTTGGGTAAAAACAGATAGATTAAATTACTTTAGTACAATCTAGCTTCCTTAAAAAGTTAGGAGCCAAAAATATTTTTTTTATTCCATTTTTTTAAATATTTTAATGGAATTTTGGGAGATAGGTTTTTGAAGTAGACAAAGATAAACACATAGGTTTATTTTAGTTTATCAATTAATGTGACCTAATTGAAGGTATTTCAATTTAATTAAACTTTATCTTTCTACTAAATTTGTAGCTAGCTATATTATTTTTTTATTTGATGACTCTATCTCATTATACTCTGATATTTGAATAGAAGTAAGTAGTAAGTTAGCCTAAATCATAAAAAAATATTTATATATAAAAGATGTACTCACAAGATAGGCCGCACCTTAAGGAACCATAATGTTAATAGGTACCATCTACAACACCTGGTATATCCAGCATCCCATGTATGTGAAGAAAAGTATACATTGGATAAGTGGGAAGACATGTCAGTATGAAATTACAAGAGCACAACAGTCAATTGAAGAATAATGCAGAAAAATCAACAGTTGCGGAATACAGGGCAAATATATTACGATACATCTAATACCAGAATTCTAGCAAAAGAAAATTTTGGATAAGATTATACACAGAGGCTGCAGAAATTTAGAAGAATCAAAATAATTCCAATTGAGACGAAGGGTTAGAACTATTCGACAACGTGGCAACCAGCCCAAAAATGACAACTGTCACGGAGGCCTGCAAACCAAGTTGTTTCACGTATTGTACATTTTAGATGAAAAATAAGCTTATGTTCATTTGGGTAACCCAAAAGCCGCATTACCGAATTCTATTAAAATATCTAAAATAGTAACAAAAACAAACAACAAAAAATATCTTGGAGAATATTTTTAAGGACACAATGTACTAAGGGAACTTGATTTCAATCTTTTTATTTTTTCCTAAGGAAACTATTGAAGTATGGTCCATTCACTTCTCGACACTGAATATTAAATAAATAATAGTAAAGTTCAAAATGTTCATATCTAAATTAGTATATTTTTCAAATATGTGTTAATTTTTTTCCTTTTGTAGGTTTACAATGATCCTGTAGAGTTCACTAATGTTGATCAAATTGCTATATCAGTCGCTCAAGAAGATCAAAAATCTTTTACCGACTTGGTAAGACAACTTGTCGGCAGATGTGGGTCTGACATAGAAAAGGCAAGGCAAGTGATTTACTTTTTTTTTTATATATTATTAGTTTAAGTAATATGTGACATACAGGGTACTACATTATTCCACTGAGAAAATTCTACATGTGAACTTCTGACCAATAATAAGAAAAATGTTGGCATGTAAGTCAACATACCTCAATTTTAAAGCACAAATTAGAATAAAAATAAAACATAACATTTTGTCGTATAAATTAAGCATTTTAATATTTTTCTTATTTCTGGCCAGAAAACCACCACCTATACAATTTTATCATAGGAATACTGTAACACCCTAAAAAAAATACATTATATTGAGTATTACCTTCACTCTAAGTATTAGAATACTTAGAGCATAAATAAGTTCAGTATTTACATTTTTATGTTACAGAACAATATTTAGATGGATCACAGTAAAAAATCTAAATACGATGTCTTTCGATGACAACTTAAGAGGTGACACTCCTATGGGACTCCTAAGAGGGATCAAAAATGGCACTGAAAGTTATCACGTACTATTCAAGCGACTGTGCAGGTATAATAACGTTACAAATATTTAATTTGCACATTCTTTATAAAAAAATTATTAAAGGTTTATAAGAAATACAATTCTTTGCCTGCATTAATCCCTGTCTTTATCCAGTTATGCAGGTCTTCATTGTGTGGTGATCAAGGGTTACTCAAAATCAGCTGGATACCAACCAGGCGTAAGATTTGAAGACAACCGCTTTAGAAACTCATGGAATGCTGTATATGTCGCTGGAGCTTGGAGGTTTGTGCAGTGTAACTGGGGAGCTAGACACCTTGTTAATGCTAAAGATGTACCAAAAGTAGGAAATAAAACAAAGTCAGATAGCTTAAGGTAAAATTGTATTGCCGTATGTCAAAGTAGAAAAATTACATTTATATTTTTTAGATATGAGTATGATGATCACTACTTCTTGACAGATCCAAAGGAATTCATTTACGAATTCTTCCCGCTACAATCTGAATGGCAACTCTTAAAAAATCCTATTACGTTGCAGGAGTTTGAAGAGCTTCCATTTGTAAGGTCCTTATTCTTCCGCTATGGTCTCTATTTTTCAGACCCTAACACAAAAGCTGTTATGTTCACCGATTCAACAGGTAGATGTAATGTATTAAACATTGCCACTGGCGGCTAATGAAAATCAAATTGGTAATATTTTGATAATTAAGCATTTTTTGGGAAATAACTTTTATAGGCACATAGTGAATTGCCACAAAAAAATGATATATATATATAGAAATTTTTTCCTTTTGCAAATACTCTACAGCCCTAGAAATTATCCCATAAAAAATTGTGACCATATCATGTTTCATTATTAAAATATGACTACCTTAATTTTCAGCAACCGCAACTAATGGTTGCAGTTTGTATTTAACTTTATAACTGTACTTTTTTAATTTTCTAGGAGCTGCAACTGTTCGTATCGCTATGCCTGCTCATATGCAGGGGACTTTAATTTTTCACTATAACCTTAAATTCTATGACAGCGATGGAGACAGTTATGACGGAGTTTCTCTCAAAAGATTTGTGATGCAGGTAACTATAAAATGTATATGACTGCCAGTAGAGTATGTAACTCCTAACAGAAATGAACCTAGTTTGCTAATGTAAATATAAACATTTTCACAGGAAATATGCCACGACACAATATTACTACTAAATAGTTAAGAAAATATGTAAAAATGACACTACACTTGACAAAATTTAGAGTTCACTATGTACTTTTCTGGAATGAATTTTCTCTATCACTCAATAGGAATGTCCGGTAGTATCTACTAATCTCTCTGGAGCATATAAGGAAGATGAAATTAATACTAGGACTTCCTATAACGTTTATCCTAAAGTTTGTCCCAAAGAGATACTTAGAGATTTTGCATTTTAGGTTCTAACTTTGAAACCATCTTGCATATTTTGAATTACATTCCTTGATTTGATGTTAAAACCGATCTTTTATAACCAGAAGGTATCCAGAAATGGACCCGTCTCAAGACATTTTTACACAAATTTGACAGACGTTGCATCAACAGATGTCAGTTGCAGACGTCGAGAAATTTTGAAAAATCACTGGTCTTAAGAGGTTTCGACTGGTTTTTTTTGAAATGGGCATTTATATTTTTATAAATTGTTTCATGTATTTAGTCTGTTTTCCTATCAAATCCAAAAACCTTTCAAAGGATTGGTCTTAGCTTAAGAGAAATAAGGTCAAGATAAAAAATAAATATGCAGCGTCGGATTGGGAGAAAAAAGCGGCCCGGGAATTTTTCAAACTAGCGGCCCTAAAAAATTCTAAACTGACTTGGCTTGTCATAGTAAAACGTAAACGGGTTTTTCTAGAGTAGAGTTTTGAAATAGTCGTTATTTATAGTCCAAAGTTGAGAAGATTGAAAATTTTTAAATGTATTATTTATTTTATCCATCAATTAGTTTATGATTTCTTTTATTTTTTTCAGTGAATAATTTTACCTTGCATTCGACTACTTTTAAGCTCTTTACTCAGTAACTTTTTACTAGAGACTTTTCTAAATCCATCAAGTTTGAACCATAGAATACGATTTTGTATTCTATAATAAATAAGACATGAAAATATAAAAGCTGTAATCTAAGAACTTAATTCTAGAATAAACCACAATTATTTGTACGAAAATAAAACCAAGGAAAGCGTATTGTTAAATCATATGTATTAATCATTTCAGCAATTTCGATTAAAATACATCTGATAAATCTCAAAATAATATTATAGTAAATGCTTATTTCTAAAACTTGGATGTTTTGAAGTTAGTAAATCAATTACTGCGTCAATCATGATTTTGTTTAAAATATCTTTTTTAGAGTTCATAAGTATAAAGGTTTCTAATTTTTCTTGTGCGATGGAATTTTGCAACCAATTTTTGATAAATTTTAAAATACTAAACTATCACTGACAAGCCATCTGCGTAAAAGAAAGAGTTAGGAGATATTTGTATGCTAAACTAAGCGTTCGATAAGTGTCCGTCAGAAGATTATACTTGTTTAAAATTCTATAGCAGCACACAACACAGTCTGCAAGATTTTTTTTGTTTTTCTTTACTTTGATTGTCTTTAACATTCGAAGTAATTTCATCATCATCATCTATGTCACCATTCTGACTAACATACAAATAATGAACTTCCTTTATCCCAAAAGCATCTGTGATTTAACTTGCATGTCTCTTAAATATTGTTCCAAAAAAAAAACATAGATTAAAAAACGACTAAATTTTTGAATTTTTTTTTGCTTTCCATTCAAAAAAAGTTTCAAATTTTTGAAATATATCTAATTAAATGTTGGAGCAAGCGGCCCTTCGGGAGTTTTCCCTTTTTCCCTATGGCCAGTCCGGCGCTGCATTTATGTAATAAATAAAAAATTAAAAAAAGTAAATATTACTTCAACAAGCGTTCAAAATCAGCTCTCCATACATTTTTTTTATTCTACAAATGTGCTTCTGGTGCACATGAAATATTCCAGGATTGTTATGAATTTGATTACAGCTGTGTTATTCTCAGCAAAAGTTATTTTCTAATATCTGTGGGTGGTGAATAAATGAGTTATTTTGGATGACCTTACAAAAACATCTAACAGATTTATATCAGGTGACTTAGGTGTCCATAAAACAGGTTTGGTTCAATCTACCTACCTATCAAAATATTAAACACTAATAACTTTGTTAATAATTGATGTACTAATTAATAGATGCTTCAAATTAAATGGTGCGCAATTGTGCATGTAGCTGATTTAGAAAACTGGCTAATAAATGTTTTTTTTTAATGTTAATTTGTTTGTCTTAAGCTATTCGAAAGGTTTCTGGACTTGGTAAGTTAAAGTAAGTTAAGTTATCTGTAATATACAACACCAAAATTTTAGCAAAATATAAAAGATGGTTTTAAAGTTAGAACCCAAAATCTAAATCATTAGGTCTTCTTAAGGGCTCGAAATCTCCATTATAAGAAACATTGTAAAAAAAAATTATAGGGAGTAGCAGTGTTATTCTGATGTTTCCTGTATGTTCCCATAAGATTAGTAGATACTTTTTGGAGCTCAAACATGTACCACTTAGAACTTTCTATGTTTTCCAAAATGTATACAGGATGTTTTTCTAACACATTTTGCATTTTTTTTCCTTATCACAGTACAGACTGGATATACATATTATATTGTGATCATATACTCATATTGTATATATTTTTTTATATTTCCAGTATGTGAAATTGTTTGTTTAATGACAACCTAGGTGAATCCAATATCTTTTTTGCACTGACTAAGAAACCTATTAAAACAACATTTGTCATTGTTCTGTAGATTCATAGAAAAATAGTGTTTTCAGCACTGTATACCACATAGATTTTCAAATCCCACTAATTTTTATATAATACATAATTTGTTTACAAACATTACAAAATGGATTTCTTCCATTATTTATGTAATAATAACCCTCAGGATGGCTATCAAACAGTGTTGCCAGATTTTTTTTCGGGCAAAGCGGGATTTTGAAAATTTTTGAATAAAAAAGCGGGATTCTTTTGTCCAAAATCGGGACGTACTACGGGTTTGTATAATTGATGCCTAAAAAAAAAAGTCTCACTCTTATCTTAAAAAATAACGGTCTAAAAAAAAGGGACGTTAATAACAGATTTGGAGAAAACAATTCGAGAGCGGAAAAAGCGGGACATTTAAATTTGGGTTAAAAAGCGGGACGTCCCGCCAAAATCGGGACGTCTGGCAACGCTGCTATCAAACCACATTTGAAATAATTCCCATTTGTTTCTTTTCTCTTTTGGCATTTTAATTAGTAAATGAACTTCAGTAGAAGTCCTCAATTAATAGTAAATACAGAAATACAAAATGAAGCGACTAGTGAACAATTATCACTACAGTTTATATCACTTTTCTATTTCATTTGTAACCTAGCTTTTTACAACAGTATTTTTTTTATTTTTTTTAGTCCGTCGTTGGAAATATGGTAGCATTTAGAGTTCATGCACCATGTAGTGGAGCATTTTTATTGGATATTTTTGCAAATGCCGTCACTCCCAAAGAGTACCTTACCGGAGAACCTATGAAGTTCAAGAGTGTATGTAAATTTAAAATTTGCTGTGAAGACCTACAAACTGTAATGGTGCCTCTGCCTGACTGTGCCAGTGGCGAATGGGGCCCCACAAAAGCTACAAGACTATTCGGATTGGTGCCCATTACACATCAAGTAAGTAGAGAGTCTATAAGGTAGGCATCATGTGGGAAAACTTTTAGTAACCTATTTGCGAAATTGTTTTTTCTTAGAAAATAATGTCAAATTATGAACCCAAAGTAATCAAGTGATTTTTTTATGCCAAATTCGACATTAAAGCATAGCTTCAATGTTTTTGTTCATTCGGCTTGTCCTCTCGTCATCGTGCACACTGTCTTGGTCATCACAAAACCTCCTGAACCACAGGAACACAGTAGGACATGATACACTCCCCTCACCCTACGCCACTTGTAAGGGTTGATACATTCCTGTGTGTTTCACTGGAATTAAAACAGATCTTGACTGCTGTCCAATGTGTATTTCCCTGACAACTATCAAAAACTCGCTTCACGCAAAACGTTATAACTTCATGGTAGATACATGTATACTCATAAAATTTTGTTCTGTCACTCGTAAGGCTTCCCACTATGTAGTTCCGTTGACCGCACATTGACAGTGTCACACATTTTGTTACAATAAAATCGGTTTTAAACTTAACAGACTGTGGAAGTTATAAAAAAAAAATCACATATGCTGTGTATTTTATTGGTGACAATGTATAGTCTGCTCAGTAATTTGGACACAATAAAAATGATTGTGTTTCAAAACTTCCGTATGTCTGTCAGTGTTAGTAAAAAGAAAAATGACCATATCAACACATAATTTTTTTCAGGATGCATTAGTTTTTGCTGGCCGAGAACTAGAAATTCAATTCAGGATGTCCCGTCAGTTAACTGATTTCATGGCTACACTACATAAAAATGGGGTAGAGGAAAAACGTCTCTCAAAATTTGTATCACATAGCGTATCGGATGACATCGTCACTTTCAATATAAGTTTCCCCGAAGAGGGTCAATATGGTCTAGATATTTATACAAGAGAGATGGTACTGGATTCGGCAGGCGAAAAACACTTATTAACCCATTGTTGTAAATATTTGATAAATTCCTCAAAAAGGAACTAGTTATTTTTTATATTACTTTTTACCTGCTTTGGACAGACACATAACTTATTTAACATATTTTTTTATCTAGTCTAAAATTTATAAGAAAATATATCTAACTTTTAATGAACATAATTTTGTATCCTGTAAAAGTTAATTCAATCGAGGTAACAAACACATTAAGATGATATGGCATTAAATACTAAAAATATAACCAAATAAATAAATAAAAAAGTAAATTTTTACTTTTTAAGTCAATATATAGTTCAAGATTTATAGTTCATATTAACAACCAAATAGCTTGCTACAAATATAAAACCATTTTTCTATAAGGTGTTTCAATATTCCGTGTACATAAAAGTGCCACATATTATTAGAATCAAAATAAGGGATTTAACTAAAGATACTTCTATCCAAAGTCACTTCATTTAGTGATTTAAAATGAAATTTGGTATGCTAGTACTTGCATATAGTAAATACATTTGCAGAAATGTGAAAAATATAAAACTATTTTAATTTGACACCAAGAATCTGTGGAGTTCTATGTTCACAGTATAATGAAAAAGCCTCTAAACTAATCTAATACTTTAGGCAGAAGAATGCCCAATCCTCTTAAATTTCGATTTTGTTTGTCTGAAGCAGGCCAATTTAAAAATGGTGCTCACTTTCGACAAACAACATAATGATGTAACAGTATTTATTACATTTTACATAGGAACTTTAAAAGTTATAATTAATGCAGTTTAAAAAGCTTACATAGGCCTAACACTTGCCCAAATATATTAAATGAAAATAACTTCGTCCAACTTGTGAGAGAGTGCAATAACGAAAAATTAAAGATTTATTTTTTAATTGGAAAATGTATGGGTTGAATACACACCATAATGGATATTTTCTGTAATTGTTAATAGTGTATGCACATATTATTAAATCATATATTTTTTTGTTAATTATTAATATATTGACTTAAAACTTAAAGTTACAATTCCAGGCTTTAAGTTGCTTTATTGTTTATATAAAATTTGTATGTACTTACTGTTAGAGTTAATAAAACATATTTATTTTTATTTTATTTTTCCTCAAGTTCTTAACCCCATCTTAAGCCTACATCTGGCCTAGTCCTAATATTACTAGGTGTTACTGACTGACATTGTTCTTCGGTATTGCTTTTATGGTGCCGGCTTAAGACAGTGTATATTTAATATGGTTATTATTCTGCCAAATATGCAATATAGAAAAAATGATCCTCTGCAGATTTTCTGCCAGTGCGATATAAAATGCAAATTTGTTCGTTGATCCTTAGAAACTTAAGGGGCAATATCAGAGTAGAAAACCATGTTTTTTTCAATTTTTTTTTGCTCATCTTAAAGTTTATAGTCTTAATAATATTGTGTGCAAATATCACAAGTATTGAAATTCCAATTGTGGAAGTTATGGCCAATTTACCGGAATGCATTACACATCAAAGTATAAAGAAATGCTGTTCAGCTTAGCGAAATCGAGGACGCGGAATGCATTTACCGCCACTGTCAAAACTCACAATGCAACCCATGAAAGGAGCGATTCAGCGAAGGTCATTACGGAACATTGCAGAAGATGCTACCAGTACTGCGGATGGCCTACTCTATAGTCCAGCAATCGCTGATTAACAGTAAAGAAAAAAATAAATAAAAGTCTTCTCAATATAAGATACAGGGTGTCCAAAAAGTCTGGAAACACCTGAATAATTTCCCAGGTAAATTATTTTTGAAAAATGTTAAGGACATTTCTTGTAGTAACTTTTGACGAGGAATTCAATGGTGGCCTTGGATTTGACCTTGACGGTTATTTCAAGGTCACATCCATTTTTTTAAATTGAAACCCCCTTTTTCGATGTCGGCAATCGAAAGAGCGGGAAATTTTACATCCAAAAACTCTAAGGGCGTAAATCAGTGTTGACCTTGAAGGTCATTCAAAGGTTATTTAAATTTGTGGGCTGGATATCTCCGAAGGACGCGGTTGATGAAAATAGTACAAAGCTCACTTTAGTTATTTTGTTGCAATTAGTGGTGACCTCAAACACGACCTTCTTGGTGTCTTTCAAGGTCATTTCAAGGCCATTTTTTTTTTACTGAAAATCTCATGTGACGTCGGCAATCAAAAGAGTGGAAGTTTTCATACTTTTACTTTTAGGGTTACCCAGAAACAACGACGTGGACGCAGTAGTGTATGTTCCCTTTGAGGTGCTTTATTATCGTGAGTCGTGCTTGGAAAACAGTCTGCAAGTGGTGGAAAATATTTCTGGGTAACTTCCCTTGGAAATATTTCCCTGGGAAACATTTAGCAACATTCCCGAAATATATTTTGGGAATATTTTCAGAAAAATATCTTTCTGGGAATTTCCCATAACTAGTTTATTCGTTTCGAAACTGCTGTCAAAAAATAACATTATTTTTAATTTTCACCATTTAATATCATAATTTGATATACAGGGTGTCCGGAAATTCATGCATCAAAATTTGGTCATAGATTCTTAAGACAAATTCAGGGGACCTGCATTTTTTCTTTTTGCCAACTGGCCCCCTCTTTCGGAGTTACAGCCCCCTGAAATCTGCCCCTAAGAAGTTTTTTTATATCTCAAAACCATGTTGTACGAGAATCACTAAATTTGGTACACAGGGGTTTTATGACATGTGGAATCTCACAGTGCTACGCTTTTTGGCGAGAAACCCCCTTAAGACACTTTTTCGTGGCCCCCCTTGTCTTTGGAACCAGAAAAATTTGGTTGCAAATTTGATTTTTTTTAATTATTAGTTAGCTAGAAAGCCATTGAATTTAGAAACTTTTTTCTCTTAATATTTGTTTCGAAAAACGCAATGTTTTTGAGGAAAATGGCGAATCACGATGTGCATTCGATCACATTTTGATATTTTTCTCGAAAACATTGCGTTTTATGAAAAAAGTATAAAGAGACAAAAAGTTTCTAAATTTAATGGCTTTCTAGTGGACTGATAATTTTTAAGAAATTTAAATATGCGACCAAATTTTTTTGGCACCAAAGACAAGGGGGCCCACGAAAAATTGTCTTAAGGGCGTTCCCCGCCAAAAAACGTAGCACCATTAGATTCCACATGTCATAAAACCCCTGTATACCAAATTTAGTGATTCTCGTACAATAGGGTTCTGAGATATATAAAAAAAGATTATTCTTAAGGGCGGACTTCAGGGGGCTGGAACCTCAGAATAATAAATAAAGGGTACGCCGTTATTTACATTCGATAGTGAAGTGTTGACATATGTGTATTTACAAACATTGGTACTTTGTGACGTCCTTGACGTTGCTGCCACCAATGTTACATTTTTATCTTTATAGCTAGGTACAGCGGTCATTTTAATTGATTAACATACAAGGATATACCTCATTCTTGATATAATATGCCGACAATTATAGGAAAAAGAGCCAAATATGTGCTACTTCTTTTCACAAGTAAGTTTGACATTCTTTCCATGGGCGTTTTTACAAGGGTGTAAGGTGTCCTAAGTATTTTATTTGTTAATTTATTATGTTTGTATTTTGATACTAACACTAGCTCTGTGTTTATTTGTAGAATACCATAAGATCCTGCAATACGAGCAGTGTGGCTAGAAAATTTAGCCATATCTGAATATGATTTATCAAAGGATAATTATGTCCGTTCGAAGCATTTCCGTGCTACAGATATTAAGGTAACAGTAACTGGAAAACGATGTCTCACACATGGAGCTGTCCCTATTAATACAACATTTGGAAGGTAATATGTTTTAAAAAGGTAATTAGAATAATTTAACAAATATTTTTAGCAGTGTTGATGAAAAGGTTGTGCCGTCTCAAAGGTTCCCCCTTCGAGAAATTGTCAGTGAAGGAAATTTTATAGATGTTGCTATAAAACATCTTCAATCACATGTTGTCCCTGTTCCATAAGAGACGAGCTGTCAATGCTATGAGCTCAAAATTCAGTTTATTTTTGTTGCGTACATTTAAATCGTGCTTGGAACATGTTTATTTTCCCATACGATTAAATGTTGTTCAATGTAAATTCATTTTTCCGTTACTTTTAGTACAAATATGTTTTGTTTTCTTTGCATTGTTTATATTCCAGCAGATTTTAATGAAATATATTTTTGCTCCTTTTTTTGTAGTTTTATTTAAATTATTTATTTTAATAAATGTAGTTCTTCCAGTAATCGAGAACTACTATGAAATAATAGAACTAATAGCAGGCAATGACATTGAATGCATCATATTTTGTAGCATTGGATACTTGTAAAATTATGTTCGCTTGGTAGCTATAGAGTATAATGATAGTTTCAATCGAGGAGTTTTCTTTAGTCACTCTTTTGTTCTGGAAATGTTTTTAAAATATTAATTATAGATTTTGAAGGAACCGTTAACTTTTTCCTATTTATTGTCTATTTATTACACATGAAAGCTTAAATAATCGAGCACTTTTGATTTTATTCTATTACAAAGTATAATATTTATGGTTTCCTTATATTACGATAGATTTTAAACCTAAACTCGGTACGCCACTGTACCAGGGACCATTGTGTTTACTTATGTATCATTTGTTTATCAACATACAATAGGTTGAGGTTACATGTTTACACTGTGTACTGAAATAGGGAATGCAGCCTCCCCTTTATTTATTACTCTGAGGCTGTAACTCCGAAAGAGGGGGCTACTTGGCAAAAATAAAAAATTGGGGTCCCCTAAATTTGTCTTAAGAATCTGTGACCAAATTTTGTTGCATGAATTTCGGGACACCCTGTAGATATAATAACAATATTGATGCTCTATCTTCCGCTGATTTTTTTTACATTTTCTATGAATCACTGTACTGACAATAGATACACTATAACATTTTTCAAAAATTTTGGAATGGAAGTAAGGAAGAGGTTCAGATAATCAATAGAGGTAAAAAATACAAACTTTTAACTTACAATAATTAAATTTTAACTTTTAATCAGTCCATTAGAAAAGATAAAAAAATATCAAACATTAAATCATTACAAATATGTTGCAATTGCTAACAATGGTTAAACATATTTTATTTAATCAGTAGATTTTGATTCTATTTTACATAATTATCGACAAAACATTTTTCTATTGCACATTTGTCCTTTGAATACGATACAATTAATTATAAAGAAAATATAAACATTTAATGCACAATTTTGATCATTTTTGCATATTGAACTAATCTTTCATATCTTAACCTATTCCGAAAATATAAACATCATATCAAACTTATTTAATGACATAAACTGTCATTATTAATAATAATTGATGTCAATAAATTGTAATTTCATCACAGAAATAAATATATCTTTTTGCAGACACAATGTTTTACCAGGTTATTGTAAATACTGTATAAAAAAGATATAAATAATAAGAATTTTTCTTGCAAGTATTTCCTGAGGAAAAATAAGTGGCCAGTAAAAGTATTTGTACAGGAGAGCATGCGGTGGTACAATGATCTGTTATTACGTAAACAATGCTTGCATGATGACAGTAGTACACCTAAGGATTACTTACAACAACACCTCTTTATTAATGTAAAGTTCAGAAGTTAGTAGGAAATAAATACAATAATAGTTCAAAAGATCGAGAAGCACCTTTTCCAGTAAGCTGGAATCAAGTGTGGCTAGATTTAACTGGCTGCTACTGGCATGTACATGCTGACAGACCTCTTCTTACATTATAGTACTCTCGAAGCAGTTCAGTTCACAGTTTAATTGCATACGAGTAATGTTTTTCGCAATACCTGGATGAAAAGGAAAATAAACGGCAATTATCACAAGAAATATAATACACAGCCAACAGAAATCATTAGCAGAAATAGTAAAGGTATCATCCGATGCCGTTGAACTGTTTAGTACATCATCAGGTAATTTGATAAGGAAAACAACATTGAAAATAAAAAAAGAAGCAGATGTTTGAAACTACTTACTGTTAGGGATGAGAGGAAAATCTTAAGACTTATTGGAAATAATCCACGATTAAATGCACCTGCAATAACTAGGGAAGTATAAGAAGCCTTTAATAAAAAAGTTAGTCCGGATACGATTCGCAGGGTACTTAAACTTGGTTGGCTAAAATCGTGCATCGCCCGTAAGAAGCCATACATTAATGCTACAAATAGAAAATATTTAGATTTTGCAGAACGGTATATAATCGAAAATCCTGGTTTCTGGAATAGTCATTTTCTCCGATGAGTTGAAATTTACTATATTCCGATCCGGCGGACAAATACGTATATGGAGAAAACCAAACAAAGAAGTGTATCCCAAGAATTTGCAATTTATTGTGAAATATGGAGGATAAGGATTCATGGTATGAGGCTGTATGTCCGGCTGAAGTATTCGAGAATTAGTAATAATAGAAGGTACAATGGATAAACAAGTGTACTTAAGCATTCTAAAGGAAAATTTAATAGAAAGCTCCAATTTGCTTGCAATGGGCAATATGATTACTATGTTCAGCAGGACAACGATCCAAAGCATACAGTTTACGTAGTACCTATGTCAGTGGATCGCGTTCAATATACCCCATATCTTTGCTACACCTCCTCAAAGTCTAGATCTCAACCCCATCGAGAATTTATATGACGAACTTGAAAAACGTGTATGAAAATACAGTATAACTAGTAAAACCCAACCGAAAACCATACTGCATGACGAATGGTATAGGCCCTGATTTGACCCCAGAAATTCTTTGCCACACCAACTTCCTGCAGTTTTTAAGACTAAAGGATACCCAACCAAATATTAAATGTGTAATTTTGCTACAATACATATTTGGTATTTCACAATTTTATAACTGTATGAATACTTTTGTGATATATATTTTGTGTTTAGCAAGATATTTTTATTTTTCATTCTTTATGAATGCCATATTTTTTCGTTAGGTATGAGGGTGTAGAGGTCCAAAACCCACGATGACTTAATAAAAGTTTCCTTTACGTTTGTTTTTTATTTACATCGGTCCAGATCTTTGGTGTGTAGTATGCTCTCCTGTACAATTACTTTTGCTGGACACTAATATAACAGTATTACTAAGTATATAAAATTAAAGGTAATTCGCTTTGTTAAACTCTTAAAGCAAAAAAAATATTACAAATTGATAATAAAATTACTTCATAATATATCCCAATACAATACAAGGCTTTTTTAATTATCATACCGTCTGTAACTTTTAAAGAGATTATCTGATTATATTTGACATCCAAGTGAAAAAAAAATTGTCGATCTGATGGGGGCAATTGCATTATTCCCAGATCGTCATTTTTTTTATATATATAATAAGATCAAGAACATTCTGTATATTCTTACTTATTTGATAGAAAGTCTTCTTACTATTACAGAGTTATAAAGTTTGACAGATCAATTTCTAATAGTAAGGAATATATATCCAAAAGAATGTTTATAAGAATAAACCTGTTAAACAAAAAGCTTGGTTGTTCAGCAAATAATAATTTCTTTCTAACAATATGGTATGGCACACTTTTATGGCATAACTTCTTTACTGTTAAAGATAGACCCATCAAAACATGTCACTGAAATCTAATGAAAGTGCTTGATTTAAATAAGTAAAAATATACGAAGTATTCCACTTAAAAAAGTAAAGTTTTCTGTTATTTTCGAAAGACGAAATTAAATATCAAAGTTAACATTAATCAGACAATTCCTATACAAATTATAGAGGATATGCCATTTAATAAACACCCTGTATGGTTTTTTATATAAGTAAATATACCAATACATACTATGAAATTACTGACGTATATAAAAAATTACCTTGCTTTTATTCCTTTTTTTTTATTTAATTCTTTTTTAATGAAGAATCAAAAATATTCTTCTGCAGTTTGTCGTAAGATTTATCACTTTAACATAAAGAAATAATGCTTATATACTAAACTTCTTTACGAAGAAATACCTTTTGGTTCATAATATTGCATTATCGTAAACTAATAGTAAAACAGCATACGAGTGATAATGAAATGAGACAATTATTATCCGAATCAGATGCCTACGAACACTGCTCTATAATTTCAGATTCTTTGTCGAATTTTAACCGATGCGACCTCACAGAACTTCCTCTGCTAGTCTCAACACTATCAATAAATGAAGTAAGCATACCTTCGACCTCTGACACAGCATATTTCAGGTTTGTATTATCTATGTGACCCAAGGATTCATCTAACGAGAAATTATTTGCTAATATTTGCTGAAGTTTTGCCAGAGCATCATCCAGATCATTGTGCAGTTCTCTTACAGGCGATTTTCTTGGAAACATCCTTTTCTCGGGCAGTGCTGATATATCGTTGGAAGTTGTCGGTTGGCCTAGAAAATAGTAACCAAAGATAGTTTGAGCAGCACTACTTCATATTTTAGAAGGCATGGGTAAATTTTCAATTATTTCTCATTATGGATAAAAGTTATTATTGTTATTAGTCTCAATAGATTCTACATAAGGTTTCTATTTTCAATATTTGGGTATATTTAAACAGAGGAGCACAAATGCTACCAGAAAATTTTGAGGCTAAAATATAATGTTTCAATATACTTTAGTCTACAGCGAGGGTTAACCACTTAACCAAAAAGAGGTGAGCTAAAAATTCATTTAATTTATATAAACTTATAGAGTGTTTTTTTAGAGGTTTGATTTTTAAGTTAGCAACACTGTTTCTAGTGAGAACCAGTTTGACAACTGACAGCTGATTTCTATTCAGTACGTTTTGCCATTTCAACATGAATCGACTTACACCAGAACAACGTTTGCAAATTGTGCAAATTAATTTTGAAAATCGTGGTTCAGTTCACCAAACTCATCGTGCGCTACGTCCATTTTATGGTCGACATAATCGTCCATCGGAGCAAGTTATTCAAGCAACCATTAAACGTTTTCTCACCCCGCATACCTTAATTGATAACAAGCATCCGTAGAGACGTCAAACAGTGCACACCGAAGAAGTTGTTGCTGCTATAGAGCGCAGTGTTGAGGAAGACCCAAATGTGTCGATTCACCGCCGTGCACAGCAACTCGAACTTTGTCCATCCACTTTACGGAAGATTTTAAGAAAAGATCTTGGTTTACGAGCTTACAAGATCCAGCTCGTGCAAGAGTTACAGCTGCATGATCATCATGTGCGTCGTACATTTGGCATATGGGACGAAGAAAAGACCATCATATTTTTGGTTGAACGGATACGTCAATAAAAAAATTGCCGGATTTGGAGCGTAGAACAACCAGAAGTCATTACTAAGACGCCGTTACATCCACAAAAAGTCACGGTTTGGTGTGCTTTATGGGCTGCTGGAATCATTGGCTCATATTTTTTCAAAGATTATGCCGGTCATAACATTACAGTTAATAGAGAACGCTGTAGGTCCATGATTACTAACTTTATTGTTTCTCATTAATGTGGAACAGCTTTGGTTTCAAAAAGACGGCGCAACATGCCATACAGCACGCGATACAATCAGACTATTGCAGGAAATATTTGATGAGCGCATAATTTCGCATAATGGTCCTGTGAATTGGCCTCCACGATCGTGTGATCTCACCCCTATGGATTATTTTCTATGGGGATATGTGAAGTCGCTAGTCTATGCTAATAAACCAGAGACATTAAACCACTTGGAAGCCAACATTCGCAGAGTCATTGCCGATATACAGCCTCAGCTGCTCGAAAAAGTAGTCCAAAATTGGACTTCCAGATTGCGTTTCATTCGAGCCAGCTGTGGCGCACATAAGCTTGTAATCCTATTCAAACAATAACGGCATACAATTATCATTACAATAAAGTCAATTTTATGGGCATTACCATGATTTTAATGTTTTATTTTATTTTAAAAGTCTATATCTCTAAAAAAACCACTCTTTATCAACCAGTTGGAGACACCTTCAATAAGAATTCTAGAATTTTGACGCCACTAAATATTTTTAAAATTCATTTGATGTGCTATTGTATTTTAATGAGAAAAGATTTTGTTCAAAAAATGAATAAATTTCAAATTACTATTTTTTTAGCATAAAATAAACATACTGCACACAGTTGATTTAAAAGTAATTCCAAAACTAATTATTAAAAAAAAATAATGTATAGGAATTCAAAAAATTGAGTGAGGTCATTCAGGAAATTGTATTTGCAACAAGGAAATTTTATAATTTTTTTTTGTGAAACAAACAGTTTTAGTTATTTTATATTTATATATTTATTTTACATTTGATGTTAGCAAGTTTATTTCAGACTAAAATACTACAGAATTTTCCAAATGTTGAGTGGAATTCTGGGATTTGTAATGAGGGTGTCTCAGGTATTTCCTGATTAATATAATTGTACACAAATTCAGTGCATTTTTACTTTTATTTAGTGTAATCTTCCACTTAAGTTTCGTTAGTTTACGTCAAACATCCTTACAAATATTTGCATATATGTGATGGTTTTCTAAAACTTGCAAATGAAGTAATTTTGGACTAAGACATATCTGGCCCAATTATCAATTTTGTCTCAAGATTATTTAGCAGTATTTACGCCCCTTCATTTACATACACCCTCTATATTATATACACTGTTTCTGAGACAAACCTCACATGATGCTTCGCAATAGTATTTTGGGACTATATCTTCTGTTCAATTTCAGATAAATTATTATATTTAAATTTTACAATTTTTATAAATTAATCATTGTAATTAAAAATAATTTGGCATATTTTAAAGGTTGTCGCTCACTAGGAGTGACTTTTTTTGGTATACACTCACTACAGAGTACTGAAACGGCAATATCTTTGCATCAATCGTTCAGTTCACGCTAAGGTCAGTTTAAAATGAACTCATCCGATGAGGAAGATGCTGTTGTTGTCGCTATTTTGTATGCAGAAGCAGAAAAAAACGCAAAAAAAGGAAATTTTGGATATACATAACATATATAGCAAACATAGAGTTGAAAGTGAGTTCTATACGCAATTTTTCAATCTTATCGATGATGAAATTAAATTTCCTCAATACTTCCGGATGCTACATGAAAAATGTATGAATTTGTTGGACATGTTAAAGCCAGAAATATGTGTACTAGTCTATATGTGTAACATACTAATAAATACATATTCATATCAACAAAACAGCTTTTCTTCGGGTATATTTGTCTATAATCTTATGAAAATATTGCTTATTTTGATCGGTCGTTATCGCCCACTGATCGGAAACGGACTGAACCGCAACGTACCACAACGGCCGCAGCGCAGAAATATTCCTCAGGTGGGATTCCGAGACTATCTCGCCACTGCAGACCGCTACTCCGCGGTATAGTGTGTGCATCTCTATTTAAAGCTGTGTAAAATAAAAACTGCTCTTCGGCGCGCTGCCATCCGCTTCCATGTGAAGTGCTCTAGTGAGCGACAATCTTAGTTATTTAGTTTTTTCAAAATAATTATGTCCCTTGTTTTAAAATATTTAAATGTAGTGAGGTTTTTGGGGGCAATCGAAAATGAACAAAAGTTTATTTATTATCTAATACATAGAGATCCTTCAGAATATATGAAACAGATATTTTTTCTGCCATATTTATTTTTTTTGTTAAGAAATATTCAAAAAACGCAGATGTTTATTATCATAAAAAAAAATGTTAATATAGAATAGATGTTAAAGAGGTTTATAGGGTACGGAGGTACGTCTAAAGTCTAACGAGAGTTTCTGTAGATTTGCTAGTGACTAAAGTAGTAAGACTTTAGATTTGGCAACGATGCACTTGGCTGGCTTTGTTTGGATGCCTAAGCTTGAAATATACATCATATGTCACACCTGCGAATTTCAAATAATATGTTACTTCGAGAACCGCGGCGTTGCCGCTTTCACGCATATGGAGGTTAAGTTAGTTAACGACAACAGTTTGATGGAGAATTATTAAAAATTATGTATCTTACAAGTACCTAATCGATTCTCTTTCCTTAGATATCGGTTTCCTACGTATACAAGTTGCTGTGGAAACTGTTCATTAATTGTTGTGCATTCTAAGTGGAAAGATCAAAAAAATCTGCATTCTCATAAGACTCTGTACTAAATCGTGGAAAATTATTTTATTAATATCTTGTGTCTTAGGTATCCAAACTAGTCATAATTTATTTTGAGGATTTTCTTCATATTAATAAGTTTATATTAATTTTTTTATGAATATTTGTTCGTCACATCTAAATCAGATAAACTTCCTTAAAATGTATTCTATTAAAGTAACTCGATTTCAAATGATTTATTTGCATTAAAAAATGTTACCCTTGAAGTGTGATCCATGTGTTTTCAGGCACCTTTTCAATTCATACAAGAATGGAAATAATATCTCATTTTTGCGATAAAAATGCAATAAAAATTGGATTACATGGAATAATTAATAGTTATGGGATATATTTTCACCATCAATGAATATGTACAAAGAAAGAGTGACTCCGAAAAATGCCCATTTTGTAAAACTCGTAGTTCGTTAAAATTTTGTGCTAAGTTATTGTATATCATTAGAACGTGTTACTGAGAAAGTTCCAAGACAAGTTCAGCTTTGGTTTTGAAGATATGAGTGATACATGTGTGATGAACTTTCAGTGTGAGACCCGGATGTCCCACAAAGAGTCGCCGTCCGGGTAACAGCAGTGGAGAAAAGTGTACACCAGGGGTCTTGATTAGAAAAGAAACCACTTTTTCCAATAGATGTACTCCCATTTATTTAAAGAACATAAATAAATAAATAAATTCACCACTGACAAATCCGTGGCGGTCGGTACTAACATTCGGTGAAACTAAGCTTGACGGAAAATAGAAAACGAAGTTTCCCTCAATTCGGTGTTCAACTCAGGTTGACGGCTATTTGGGAAAACGGCGGATAAGGAACTCCGAGAGGGACGGGGACCAACCCTTGGAGATTCAGGGAAACAGGATTCCAAAAACAGGCGGGAAAATGGCCGACGCTCTGTTCTCGGACGGAGGGATAGGGAGAGTGCTGAGAACAGGCGGGACAGGGACCAACGCTTTTCTCTCAGACGGAAGGATAGGGAGAATGCTGAGAACAGGCGGGACAGGGACCAACGCTCTGCTCTCAGACGGATAGGGAGAAAGGAACCTTGGTAGGACCGTTACCAATACCAAGGGGGAAGGCCGACTTACTTCGTGTTGAGGAAATTGCCGATCAACACTACTGAATCTCATGTGCCGGAGGACGGTCTTTTATAGCCGGTTTGTGACGTAGATCAACGGTTCGTCGGATGTTAGTACGCTGACCTACAATAAATACAGAGTTCAACGCTTACATTACTAACATAGGAAAAGATAATAGTTCATCGGATACTTAACGGATAAATTAATAAAAGTTCGTTACACATGTCTTAATACTCGTGATCTTATGTACTGAGCATATCACTTTAAACCCTTAAGATTTGCTGTTTTTTAGATGGCCTATCATCAGGGTCAATCAAGGTGGTTACTCAGGTTTTTGAGGTTGCTGGTTATGAATCTGAAGTCAGAATTTCAAAATTCAAGATGGCGGATCCAATATGTCAGACAAAATTTTTGAAATTGAACCAAATTCGACCAAATTGATTATACAGGGATTTTTGGGGTCCGAGATCAGATTTGCAAAATTTAAAATGGTGGATCCAAGCTAATGGTCAAATAAATTCATGAATTTTTGATTTTTAAAATTTTAACCGTTAGCTTGGACCGAAAACCCCTGTATTTGGTCGAATTTGGTTCAATTTCAAAAATTTTGTCCGCCATATTGGATCCGCCATCTTGAATTTTGAAATTCTGACTTCAGATTCATATTCAGCAACCCTCAAAACCTGAGTAACCACCTTGACCCTGATGATAGGCCATTTAAAAAACAGCGAATCTTAAGGGTTTAAAGTGATATGCTCGGTACATAAGATCACGAGTATTAAGACATGTGTAACGAACCTTTATTAATTTATCCGTTAAGTATCCGATGAACTATTATCTTTTCCTATGTTAGTAATGTAAGCGTTGAACTCTGTATTTATTGTAGGTCAGCGTACTAACATCCGACGAACCGTTGATCTACGTCACAAACCGGCTATAAAAGACCTAAGTAACCACCTTGACCTTGACGATTTTTGGGCTGTTTTTGGAGTCACTTTTTGAATGTTTGTTCCTTTTAAAATATAATAATTTAAATAGGCTTATTACAACCAACTAATTAATATATCAATGATAAAAATGAGTCTGCACTTACCTCCGACCCATGTGCTCATATCATCAATACCATATGGAACACTGCTGGTTTGTGTAATGTCTTTGTTAAAATTTGGAGGTCTGGTACCTACATGATTTCCTCTTTGGTCATTTTCAGTTATCGACTGTATAGGACTAAATAACTCCATGCCTACACTCATATGGGGTCTGTTTATAGTTTGCACCATTGGAGTGGATTCTACAGCAACCGTCTCTTGACTCATCCTTGTATCTTTTGATGGTGAATTGGGAGGAATTTTAAGATACTCCTAAAACATTTGTGGTAGTAAATGAATTAAATTACCACCCGTAATATAATGCCTTAGCAACGATGCGCTATCGCCTAGTGATGTCATTGTCAAAATTTTAGTCATTCTCAAATAATAGAAGTCGTTGCATATACAATTTAATAATTTGGTCAACTACTATGAGATTAAGGCCCAGTACTTTGAGTCTCGGTTAAGGCTTGATTAACTAATCAGGTGATTAGACTGTGATTATATTTTATAAAATAAATCAATATATAATATAGTCTAATCGCCTGATCAGTTAATCAAGCTTTGCCGAGACTCAAAGTACCGCACCTAATTATATTACAAAAACCAATTTTAAATAACTTTATATACTGCAACTTAAATCAGGTTGCAAATATAAAATTAGGCAGGATAATCGTCAGTTAATGGTGCAGATTTGGATAGCAAAAATAGACCTACTATTCACATTTTTGATTTCGTAACAGATGAAATTTTGTACAAGTTATGGTGAGTAACAATCCCATACATTGATATTTCGTTAAAAAAAACATGTTTTTAATTTATTTCAATTTCAAACGTAGTTAAAGAAATCATTTTAAAATGATACTATGAACGTTATTTCAAATCCATGGTACCTATATATTCTATAAATATCGATTAAATAGCGAGTAGTGAAATTTAATTTTAAATACAGTAGAGCCTCTATAATCCGTACTCAGGCTAATCCGAACACCGCTGTAATCCGAACTGCCGACTGCCCCCCTCTCTCTCTTGTCGTGGCCGCTGATCTTATGTTTTGTTTTCAGTTGCGAATAAGTTACCTCGCGTGTTCACGTTACTCTGTGCTAAACTCGCGCGCCACGTGTTTTAGAGGTTATAAAAATGGTTCTTACACCGAAACGCAAACATAAAACTTTAACTATAGCTGAAAAGTGTGCCATACTGGATAGTTTGATAGATGGAGTGTCTGGAACTTCTCTTGCCCTTAAGTATGGTGTTGGAAAATCGACAATTACTGATTTAAGGAAAAAAGAACAGAAAATACGGTCGTTTGTAGCTCAAACCGAGAAAGGTCCAGGTTTAAGAAAAACGCTAAAATTGCCAGAAAATCCAGTGCTCGAAGAAGCACTTTTCACTTGGTTTTTAGAGCAAAGACGAAGACACGTTCCTTTATCAGGCGAAATCGTAATGCATAAAGCCAGATTCTTTCATAAAAAACTAACAGGGTCTGATTTCAGTGCAAGTAGAGGGTGGCTGGATAATTTCAAAAAGCGTCATGGCATACGGCAGCTGAAAGTGTCAGGTGAGAAAGTCTCTAGTAATGCGGAGGCTGTTCAACCATTCCAAGAAAAGTTTTTGAAAGAGATAAGAGAAAAAGACCTTTGTCCTGAACAAATCTACAATGCAGACGAATCAGGATTGTTTTGGAAGGTTCTGCCAGATAAAACTTTAGCCTCTTCTGCCGAAATTAGTGCTTCTGGATCCAAGGTATCTAAAGAAAGAATCACTTTTATGCCTTGTGCAAACTCGATAGGGAATCATAAATTACAGTTACTAGTCGTAGGGAAGGCCAAAAAGCCAAGATCTTTTGGATCCGTAAAATTACCGGTGCATTATCAAGGACAAAGGCGTGCTTGGGTAACTAGAGATATTTTCCTGGAGTGGTTCAGAGAACATTTCGTTCCAGAAGTCAAACGTCATTTGAAGAAATTACGTCTACCACAAAGAGCATTATTGCTCCTAGATAATACGCCTGGACATCCAGATGCTGAAGATCTGACTACAGAAGATGGCAATTTTTCCGTACTGTACATGCCACCAAACTGCACACCCTTGATTCAGCCTATGGATCAAAACGTAATTCAAAATGTCAAGATTAATTACAAGAAGAAACTGTTGATTCAAGTTTTTGCGCAACAAGAAGATGATGAAAGTTTAACACTACATGATGTTATTAAAAGCATCACAATTAAAGACGCAATTTTTTCACTAGCGCAATGTTGGGATCACGTTCGTCGTCTCTCATCAAAAAATCTTGGAAGCCTCTATGGCCTGACCAATTCAATGAAGCAGAAAATGGATCAGAAGAAAACGATGGCTCTGACGTGGAAGACAATCTCCCGCTCAGTCTTCTACGCAACCGTGGATATACAGAAGAAACCATTTCCACTTTCTTGACAATCAGCGAAGAGGAGAATTGCACAGAACCCATAACTGATGATGAGATCATAGCCCAACTTAGGCAAGAGACTGACGAGCTTTTTGTTGACAATACTTCTGCTTTAAACGTCAAGAAAATTCCTCATTCACAAGCTATATCAGCACTGAATACTTGTTTGGATTGGGCTGACGAAAATGACTTTTCTTTATCCGAAAAGATGATGCTGCGAAATTTGAGGGACAAAGCCTTTTCTTGGTCAATAAATAGAACCCGCCAAACTAAAATTGATGACTTTATGAATAAGTAACGTATATTTTGTGGTTTAAATATGTATCTTGTAGTAGGCACCTCAATAAATATACATATTCTGTCAAAATATACTTACCTTTTTTTTAACATACTATAATCCGAACGCCCCACCAGTCCGAACAGGGGTTGTTTTTTGGTAGTTCGGATCATCGAGGCTCTACTGTATTTATATTATTTTAGAAAATGGGGTTTTTCAGGACTTAATAGAAAATTTGCATTTCAATTCATAACAGAATAAGATTAAATTTTTATGGTGGAAGAAATAATATATTAAGGCTTGGTACTTTGAGTCTCGGTGAGAAGCCTTGGTTAAGTAGTCACATATACTGATTTATATTATAAATATACATTCACTGATTAGTTAATCAAATCTTAACCGAGACTGAAAGTACCGGGCCTAAATAAATTAAAACGCTGATTCTCATAAACAGTTATTTGTATAATTAGTACACAAAATGGCACTTTCATGGGCGAGAGAAAAAAATTACACAGAATATTGTTTCTATAGTAGGATCGTATTCGATGCAAAGGAGAGCAAAAAATTGTCGGACTTTTATCAAAGGAAAATCGTGTCATCATTTTTAGGACGCGCAAGATGAACCGTTTCAAATTTAAAATGAAACTGAATGTACATGCTGAAATACCGCATAATACACAGTAGTAGCTGTAGTCGCCCAGGTGCATCGAGCGTACGAAGTGGTCGGTTATACGTCAAATACTAACTTGGCGAGCTTGGTCGTAAATCAGAAACTGCCCCCAAAAAAACAAGTAAACAACAGTGGCGCGTACAGAGGTAAAATGTAGTACATATGTGGAATTTAAAAAACAAATTGAATTTATAATAAATTACATTTAAATAGATAGTTTATGAGAATTAAGGAATTTTTGTAGGAACAGACGTGATCCTTTCATAATGCATAAAGAAATTATTCAATTTCTAAATCCCTTAAAATCGTACTGCACTGGATCCCTCGACAGGCAATGATTTATTACTTTGCATCGAATATGATCCTACTATACAACTGCTGTATTCAATTATAACAATTATAATTAAATCAAAATGAATTTAATTTTATTGAAATTAAAATAGAAATGTCTACATAAGAGCAACAGAACAACTTTTGCTTGTTATGATGGAAACGTGATTATATGAAATGATATAGTTTCAGTAATGTTTATACTTGGGTTGTAATATTTTGTTATAAAACGTTGCAAATAAATGAAAGCAATGATGAGACTCCAGACATAAAAGATGCAACTAATTATGTAACATCAAACTTGAGATTCTTAGTGACAGTATCTCATCTCCTAACATCTCTGCTACTGGTTGATAGTATGTTTTTCTGTCCCTCAGAGAACTTTTGCCCATAACTAGTTACGTTATTACTCATTATTATGAATTTTAAGATATATTTAAATATATGTAATATTTTTAAATTTCATCACTCTGTATCTTGAAAATGAAGCATTCTACTATATGTATTTATATAAACGTTTTTTAATTTTAAAGTTTTCTATTACCAGATAAAGTTTGACATGTGCAATTCGGGATAGCCTATACATTTAAAAAAAAATACTATTCTTTTTATTCACTATATTATTGTATGAATCTTGACTAATGACTAATATGGAGCGTGTTGAATCAGGATTATGTCTGGGAGATACATATATGCCAAATAAGATGTGTTTATACATAAAATAAAATTTAAAATTACCAATTTAAATTAACAAACCCCTTCACCAAAAATATAAAAAAATACGTCTTTTCAAGAATGAACACTGCTATTTTCTGGAAACTAACCCATTGGCCTCAGGTCTTTTGAACTCTTTGAGGGACTGACAGGGAAAAGACAAATAATGGTCTATATAACATGTCAGTTTTACTTACTTTCAGAATTTTTAGTTTTTGAATTTGAGCCGCAACATGAATTCTATGCTCTTCCAGGTACCTTCTGATGTCCTTATCATTGTGGCTTCCCAACAGTAAGATCTGCTGCAGCTCTCGGTTCTGCATTTCAAGTTGTCTAATAATAACTTGCAGTTGTGTTTGAGGAGACGACAGTGGTTCTATGTCACACAAAATCTCTTTGGAATAAGATTTTGGCAAGTAATTTCTGTCAGAACTGAAACAGAATACATTAGACAAAAAAAATTACATTAACTAAAACATATTTTACCATAAAGGTTTTGTCTCCACCACAGTCGAGTTATTTATCTTCTGAGAGCAATACAACAAACCACATATTTTTTTGATAAATGTATGGCCATAATCGTTTGACTGGGTGCAGTATTCTCTCATGGAGTGGGTTAGTTTATGCGCATGACTTGTTCTTCCAGTGAAAAAGCACCTTTGACACTGAGTGTACCTTGAACATTTCATGCACTTGTATCGTAAGCCCATTAGAGGGTTTGTTTTGCAGGTGGTACATGTTACTGAATGCATAACTAAAATAAATTAATAAATAATTGCTGAAATTTTGTAATACATTTTTTTTTACCTAATTATTAAATGCTTATTTTTAAATTACAATGTGTCCAAAAATATACGATACTTCAAAGATATACACAATTTTGCTTCCTTAAAAAGGTCTGAATAGTATTTTTTTAATATATCAATCATTTTTAGATATTTCATTGAAATTTATTGGAATAGAAGGTAGATTTGTTATTTAAATCACAGAGGTCACTGGGAATAACTGAAACTCTTTTGCTCATAGAAATATCCAGAAACGGAGGTGTTTTATAAATCACTTTATTTACTGTGAATTTTTTTATATGTTGCTAAAATATCGTTCCACAGAAAAAATAATTTTAATTTTACTGCTGTTCCTCTTGCCATTACACACTACATCGTCTACTAAATCACAGCACCCATGCTATTTTTCAATTGTTCCATTGCCGTATTGCAGTGAATATGTGCAAGTGACAGCACACTACAAGATTTCTAACAAGTTACTTCAATTGTTTAGACCAAAATTTCTTATAAATTATGATAAATGTCCAATATTCGTTTAATCTATAAATTCAAAAGCTTAAAATAAAGTTGTATAGTGTTTCCCATTGTAAAAGTAACAAAGACAAGTACCTACTTAATAATGTGTTAGAGCACAATTTTCTCAAAAATTTAATTATATGCGAAAAGTATAGACATAATAATTTTATGTGGACTGGGAATGATATAAATGTTCTAAATTTTAAATAATAAAAAAAATACATTTTTTATAAACTAAATTAAATAAATACTCTTGAAATATGGACAATTTCCATAAACTGCTAAAGCGACAAGATTAATATTTACTACCCGAGATTTTTGTTTCCAAAAAGCAACAATGGAGTTGGAAAAACCACAGGTTTGACATGACAACGAATTTAACAATTACAGATTTTCTACAGGCTAGTGTTACAAAGCCAACATGATCTAGCTGATTATGTCCAATTGCAAAACTACACTTTTTTTTTCTAATAAACAGTTTTGACAAAGCAAAATTCAGTGTGCACTATGACCTATTTTATTTTTTTGCTCAAAAACTATTACATTTACTAAAAATAAAGACAGATTTTCAAACAATACTGGAGATAGAGAAGTTACATAAGTTAGTTGTAACAGTGGTTACTTTTACATCTTGCAAATGAAAGAATCCAAATGTATATTCGACAGTAGGAGAAAAATGAAAGCTAAATTTGTCTCTTCCTATTTGAAGGGCAATCTATCGCTGGGAAGGAGTGAAGAAATTTTCTTTTACATGAGACAATTTTCAACAAGGTATCACCTTAATTTTTCTGCATTTATTTATTTGCACTCTGTATGTCTCTAAATGTTTTTATAGAACCATATTTAAAAGTACTGGTATTTCAATAGAGGCAAGTTAGTCAAAATTGTAATTATTCAATATAGCTACAAATTTAACAAAACGATCAAAATTAATTTGACTATAATTTCTACAAATATTGACCTATCTAAATTTTTGGTAGAAAATTAAAATAATTTTTTCCTGAAACAATACATTTAGCAACATGCAACAAATATATCTTTTCTACAATAAATAAAATATTTTTTAATAAAATCATTTTGACAAAGTTGCTACCAACAAAAATATACATCGCAAATAAAAGCTACTTCTATGCTCCAGTAAAATATTAGCCAACATTCATCTCACTTCTGCTACCTCAAAAAACCCGTTCTAAATTTCATTGAAATACGAATTGATAAAGAGAAGAAGTTATCATAAAAAAAAGAAATATTTCTTTTGACAGGGCATGAATTTTTTTAAAAACAAAATTTTACCAAGGTAACTTAATCCAAATTAATTTATTTTTAATTAAGTAAGCTACCCTCGAAGCATGGCTTATTCATTTTCGAATACCCTGTATATGTTATTGAAAATAATATAATTTTAAATGCCCATTATGTTCAAATAAAATAAATATACAATTAGAATACCTGGTTCTGCAATTTTAATCCTATGTAGTAGTGGTATCCATGAGAAAATTTTAGGCCCTTTCTCTAACCAAGTTATAAACATACTCTCATTTATGCCAACTAAACCTGGAGACTAAAATAAGTTTATGAAAATAAAGAAAACATAAAAAAAGATAAAAGTAATACCTAATTTGTTTATTCTACATCAAAAAAGCAAAATTAAAAATGGTTAAAATATTAATTTATCACCACAACACTTATACAGGAATTTACTTACATTACTGAAGCAATTTTCTATAGAGGTGTTAATCAAATGTGACCCAAAACTAACATCCTCATGGAGGAAATTTGTAATCTCTACAATTTTTAACAACATAGACTGCAACCTCAGTCTAGTAACACAATTGTTATGATCTGCACATAACTGAAATATGAACTTATACAATTCAATAGAAGTGCAGTTACCCAATAGTGCTAATACAATTTTCGTAGAGGCTACCTGAATTTTCCCTTTCCTATCTCTAAAAAAATAAAATACTTATTCATCTATGTGGATGTTATTTTAGATACTTACTTGTCATAAACATTATATAAAAAGTTTAACATCAATTCAGTAGCGAAATCTATATCAATGTTCATGTGGTTTTTTTTATTTGCTGCAAAATATACATCTGATAAAACTGCTTCCAAATCGCAGCTTTCAAGGCACAAGGAACTTTCATTGGCCCCCAGCCGATGCCTTTCAAATACTTCTGCTATAACTGACAATGGCACTTCTTCCACTTAAAAAACACTGAATTGTTACCACAATTAACATACAAGGTGATCCTTAAGTACACAGCTGTGATAAAGGGGTCATTTTTTGGAACATTTTAATTAAATAAGTTCCTATGATATTAAGTCCAAAATGGCTTACTTTTAAAATATAGGGTGTTAAAATGTTATCATCACTTTAGAAATTCAATCAGTAGTTTCATTCCTAATTATATTGCATTAGGTATATTTAATTTATAACACAAGTCATTTTTAAGTTACGTTTTACCCTAAAATAAACATACCACACAGTTGAATAATTAAAACCATTAATTTCATAAAGAAAAAGAATTCTTTGTTAACAATGTAATTTTATACAGGGTGTTTTCTGAATATTGAGAAAAACATTAAGGAAACGATTCCTTGCCAAAAAGTAGGTAGGTGAGTCTTCAATAAGGCTGCTATGGGAGAGAAATGCAATTCGGGGCGTTAGTTTATCTTAACAAAGATCTTCCTCTCCGATATATTAACTTGATAATTTACATATGTAGATAATTAGATAATATCCACTTTATAGTCAGGATAGATTAGGTAAAGTTAAATCAGACAATGATCAGGTCAATTTATTCTCCTTTGACAAATATTTTATTATTTTTGTGAAAATAGTATCCGACTGCTGCAAAATAACTTCAGATTCGTATTCAGGTCAAACTGAACACGAAAATTATCAAGACTTAAAGCCTATCTTCTATACAATTACCAAACCTTAAACACCCCACAACTCAAAAACTAACCAATTTAGAACATATTTTCTTAAGAACCTTTTCTTCTTAAAATAGGTAACCTGAAGAATCACTTCCTTTGTTATTGAAGTGTGCTCAAGCACTACCATATTAACGTCTTCAAAGTTAAAAAGGATTTAGAAGTAAAAAGTTTAAGAGATTACAATATAAGTATTTAAATTATGGCTACAAATTTTTATTCTTAAACATTTTATATCCCACTATAATCTAACTTTACAAAATGTTAAGTATTTTGTGAATGCAAAACTTCATAGCAAAAATTTAAAAAAGTAGGCAATTTTTTAAATAAAAGACACCTCAAACATAAAATTTCATCAATTATCCCTTTTTTAATAACACTGTACAATCAATCATTCAGATATGTCACCATTAAGAAGACCAAATAATGTCCTATTGGACTACTAAATTTAAATATCGGGTCAGATCAGAAGCCTATAAAATCAGATTTATAAACATATACAGTATTGTTTAGGTATCTTTTTAAATTACAAAGCAATAAATATGCAGCCGACAAAATAGTAATAAAGATTTATTACAATAATATATCTATACTTACTATGCAAGGCGTTTTGTAAAACTCTAAATTTCAACGCTACCCTGTATACTGAATATTTTACATAATTGCAATCGTCTATGCGTTGTCTTATATCAACAAATTTAGGGTGATCCCACTGCTTAACATTTGTAAGTTCACTGCAAAAAGAAAATAATAAGAAACGTGGAAACCTCACAGTACTTGTGCATCAACATTACTTCAAATAATAAGGATATCCTTCTTCATTCTCTATTTTCCTCCATGGACCACTCATTATATATCAGTAAACTTAGAAACGAATTAAATTACATAAAGGGAACAGGTGGAATTAATTGAACGACAAAGGAATCAACAGGTTAACTATGCACCCCACACCCCTAACCAAAGACAGGTACAGTTCGGTAACCGAAGTTTTTCTGGTAAATCACATAAACTATTAATAAACTCAACATATTAAACAGAAAATCATACTTCCTGTGCATTTAAATTCACCAATGAACATTGTTTGATAAATATTTTAAATCAAATCAAGGAAAAGATAAGAAAACGGTTTTCAAGTATGTTTACATTAGTTGTCTTTTTCTAATACAATTGTTTTTGATTAGTTATCTTTGTTCAACTTTAGATGGAAAGTTAAAGTCAATGTACCAATGATTCATAAGTTAGAATTTGTATTCTGTATATGTAGTTGCCTAATTACGACTAGGGTTTAGTAAGATTCGTTTTGCGTTTTGAAATTTTTGGATTGGTAATGAGTGTCGTGATTTTTTGAAGTTGTGCCTTGAAAGAAAAAGTAAAAAATAAGCTGAAATAGAATGGCATCAATAGGATAGTCTATTTTCTTTTAGTTTTCTTATAAGAAACTTAAAACAAGTCGTGAATTTTTGTATATTTATAAGAAAAAACGATTTTCAATAAAAAGGTCAGCTAACTTCCAGGTTAATGACATTCTAGTTAGAGAAGCCTGGAAAGCCTTATAGGAAAACTAATTAAAATATTAATTCTATTATAGTTATAGAAATGCCTAATTATTTAACTGTTGAAATATGTATATCTGGTAGATATAACTTTGGCGACTTAAATCAATTTTTGTAGTTGATCCCGTCTTCTATTTCACTAAATTCGTGTAGCACTTTTGAATTAGTAAGTGCATAATTCTGAGGTAAATAAGCAATAATAAGGTTTAAGTGTTTAAATATACAAAAAATAAATAAAGTTGTTCAAAACAAACTGCAAACTTTCACAGTTAATATATTTTTTTAATATGTAATGCGATGATTACCTTTATTAAAAGACGGCTGAGTTTTTTAACTTGACTTTCAGTTACCACTTACTTAAATTTAGATAAGTTTCAATTATTTTTTGTGTAGAGTGTAAACATGTGAAGATTAAAGAACTGATAATTTAGATTCAAAGCACAAAATAAATAGATTGTCGTGGAACTAAGAGTGGGCATTGGGTGACAGGGCTCCGCGTTGGGCGCCAGTCGTCAATCCTATGATCTTTCGGCGAGTTGTAGGTGGATTCAGGATAATGCTCCACGTTCTATTGTTCAGTTTCAAATTGATATTTGTGATCTCCGTAGAACGCCTGTAAGCTTTAGGGGCTCTTTTCGTAGGAGGGCTAGTGAATGGCAGATTTAGAGCTGTTGGCTATAGTAGCTTAAGAGCTGGGTGCCATGTGAGGGTCTTCGTCATAGATAGGACGGACATAGGCGGGTAGCTTAGAGCTCTTGTGGCTATTTTTTATAGAGGAGGAGAATATAACTCGAAAATATGGACTTCTCTAATTTTATGCTTTATTGTTGACTTTTGAGGATGATTTACAATACAACAGATGTATATGATAATAGATATTGTTTATAGACATTTTCATATGCAATCGGATTGACGTTTGATTACAGGCAGTTCTCTCGGTTTAGTGGGGCACTACTTCTGGGTTTCTGGAACTATAAAGATATTCCTTTGTACTGACTTTCAGCTAGGTAATTACTTACAGTGTTGGGTTTCCGTTTGGTTCGGATAATTTTTGGTCGTCAAAAACCGAACCTGGGACGGCTTCGTCTCCTTTATTACGCGTCGTTGACAATGTAGATTGCCGTGAAGGGGTGATTTTGAGGTGCTTGGAGCGGTTTTGGAAAGATCAGTGAAATTTTCCAATCACGCGCCACGTCTTACTAGAGATCTCTATTGGCGGCATCGTCTCTGGCGACGTTGATTACTGTATCTGGAACGTTTTGTGACGGAATCTTGGAAAGGTCGGTGAAATTTTCTAACCTCACGCCGCGCTTTGTGCATTGCCGCGTTGGGGCACAGTGTCCTTTGGGAGAGTGATGGACATAATCGAGTAATTTTGATAATCGAGTTATCGGTACTCGAGTACTTCTAATAATCAAGATACGAGATATTGATCTTTTTCATCCCATCGGCGCATACATATATTTCCATTAATCATATATTACTTAGCTAAAAAAAAAAGCTCATACACTTCAAAACCTAAATACTTTTTCATTTTATTCTTAAAAAAAAGGTCACACAGTTTGCAGTATGCAGCAACATTTAGGGTGGTGGGAGTGAACATCTCGAGTAATCTCAATAATCGAGTACCACTCGAATTTTCACTCGAGATCTCCCATCACTACTGGGACTTTATCCTAAGTTCTCGCTACAGTCGGTTCTGCTTGAGGCGTCCCGATTCGAAAGGTGAGTGAATTTTTGAAATCCACTCGGGACCTTATTACAACAAGATACTATTCTAAAATTTTCATTCAACTTAGTAATATACAAAGATCCTCGAAAAACACAAAATCCGTTTTTTTAATGTTAACCTACATAAATTTGATATTTATTATATGGTATATGACAATAACTATGATAAATTATAACCGATGTTTACAAAGCACATTTAACTTGTTATTTTTTTTTTTGGAAGGACAAATAAAATCAAAAAGCCTATCATCAATGACTCATAAAAAACTGCTCGTACCATCGTCTGCTAAATCGTAACACCAGTGCTATTTAATTTTTTTCCACAACTGACAAACATTTTTTTAAATTTAAACATGGTAAACGTATTGGTTGGTGGTATAACATTAATAACTTTTACGGCATTTTAAGGGAAAGAAATCATAACGTATGGATATTAATTTGGGAAAATAATATAGTTACGTGTATTGCATTTCTACTACTGTATGTAAATATAAATAATGCTAGTAGTCCAGGAAAATTAGCATTTCACCTCGGAATTGGATAAAGAAGGTTCGATTTTGATGAGACAAAGTGCGTTCTCTTCGTAATTGCATGTAGGTCAAAGTCTACAACGTCTCATGCGGCGCTAATTTGTTTATTTATTAATAATCAATTATTATTAACAAATTAACGTATTTCGGATATTACTTGGGTTGGAAAAAGGCCAATTTTGATGCGGTAGAGCCCATTCTTCTTCTGATTAGTTGTACCTTAACTTTGGGAGACTCCCACCGATCTTCATTTGTTTATTGATTTTTATTCGATCATTAAGAGCAAATTAGGCAATCGGACTGGGAGAGGAGGATTTTCACGCGGTAATCGACGCTCTTCTCGTACTTGGATTACAAGGTGATTCAAAACCACTAAGGGTCACTAAGGGCAGACTGATTTTCATTTGTTCATTGATCTTCAATGAATTAGTATATACAAATTCGGTCTGTTATCTGTGAGCTGGACGAGAGAAGTCTGATTTTTATGGAATAAGTCACTTTGATCATCATCCGGGATATTCCAAAACCGTTAAGGTCCGAATGATCTTCATTTCTTTTTACTAATTAATCATTATAAAAAAATTACACGTGCAATCTGTAACTAAGACTTAGAATGGATAATTTTTAATCAAAGAGAAGTGGATAACATTTATTCATAATGATTCATGTTCTATATGGTCTTCAGCTTTTTGAGAATTCACTTCCTGCATTAGGGTCTTGAACTTTCTATATAAAATCACGTTCATCCCGTCCAAATCGGCTAGTCCGACCGCAGATATCACGTTTAATTTGTTTATAGCAATCAAATAAAAACCGATAAACAAAGTTTACAGTTAAAGTACAACTAATAAGAAGAAGAATGAGCTTTACCGCATCAAGATTGGCCGTTTCCACCCCACGTAATATCCGAAATACGATTATTTGTTAATAATAATTGATTATTTATAAATAAACAAATTAGCGCCGCATGAGACGTTGTAGACTTTGATGTACATGCAATTACGAAGAGAACGCACTTTGTCCCATCAAAATCGAACCTTCTTTATGCAATTTCGAGGTTCGGCCCTATTTTCATCTAATATTCCTGGACTATAGGCAGAAACATATATTTTGCACAATATAACAAATAAATATTTTGAAAGGTATTGTATATTAATCAGCAGATATTCCATTTAAGGTCACAATATTGAAATTCGTTTCAAAATAATAAAACTGGTAAATCGTGAATTATTATTAAATAACTGTAACTTCAAAGGTTTTATTTGAAAAGAGAGAGTTACAGTTTTTTAGAGGGGAAATAACAAAAGTAAATCATTACATTTATAACTAACTGACAAATATAGAGTTATTTGTTGAAGAAATTTCAATAAGCTAGGAAAAACTAGGGACGATTACACTTAAGGTGGATCATCAAAGATTTTAGGAGCAATTTTTGCCAAGGTTGACGTTATAATAAGAAAAGGAAGACGACTAAATGTCTCGGATTGGAAAATGCTATTGGCTTATTTACTAAGGTTTTATTATTTGACCCAAAATACGACTGCAAGTTTTGCTTTTTATTTAAATATTAGGTATATCATATATCATAGAAACCTACAATTTCGATAGGTAAAGCTTGAGAGAAAAAACGACAGAAAATCATCAAATAAAGATCGGCTTCCATCATTATAAATAAGAGTTATGAAGATAATATTAAATTTTTTACAAGATAGGTTACAATATTGAAATAAAACCAAAATTTAGATAGAGAATTTATGTATTACAAAAGTTGAATATAGATCTTCAGAAAACTTGGAAGAATAACAAATACAAAGTATTTATAAATCCAGGGTTGTTTATTGCAGTACTGATATGGTAGATTTGTGGAAAATACATTTCCATTTATTTTCATCAATGTGGAGACATTCTTAATAAAATAGGACAAATTTCATTTGTGGACCTACTATTTATTAATTTGATATATATCTATTGCAAGTACAGATGTTTATATGCCAACGATTAGTAATTCTAAAAACGGACTAGCACTTTCTCAATCC